TTGGTAAGACCTTGCAAAAWTTTCAGTTCCTGCTGCAAACAAACCTCCCAGGGTGATCTTGGTCCAGTCATTTAATCTCACCAGAGCAGGCCCTCCATGGATGGACTACACCAGGAACAGCACAAACACCACCAGAGTCTGTTCCTTCAATCCCACACAAAAATGGAGATGGGAAATGATTCCCCTTCCCTGTGGCACACGGCATCCTCTGCACGAAATGGGTTTTACCACTTAGATCTACACAGACAGATCCCTTTGACCCTTTTCCCTCTACTCCACTGCTGCCTGGGTGCAAATCACCCACCCCAAATCCAGAAAATCCAGACTGGGGAAAGAGTGGGTATCTGAGAGGAGCCTAAACCATAACTCTGTGATGATATCCTGCCTGGGATAAAAGAGCTGTGTCAGACACATGGATCCAGGTACATAAAGGCAATTCCCAGGCCTTGGGACAGGGGTGGATGCAGAGGGATTACAGCTGATGGGCTTTCACATCACACCACAGCCTGCTCCAGCAGGGAGGAGATGAATTCCAGCACCTGGGAGATKTCCACCCCTCAAGCCCAGCCAGTTGAGCAGAGAAGAGGGGAGATGCAGTTCATCCCTCTGAGCTCTGGAGATCACTTTGGGAGCCCTGGTGCCAGCACCCGTGGCTCAGGCTGTCCCTCAGGTGACCTTCCAGGGCTCTGCCTCCCTCCTGGCTAACCAGGCACGCTCATCCCTTGCTCTGCCAAGCCAAGCTTTGCTTTCCCAGGAGTRCAGCCTGCCAGGGCTCAGTTTGGTTCTGCAGGATTTGAAGTGAGMGAAGGATTGGGTTTCTCACGGGATGCAGGACCTGGCCTGGCTTTCACTCACTTTGAAATGGGAGCTGTTCCATCCACATGGAGGGAAACAAATCCCAGGAGAGCCCTGGAGCAGAGCAGCAGCCAGGAGCTCATCCTGTGCTGCCAYGGAGCAGGGACAGGCTCGGCTGCTGCACCGGGGCTGGCAGGGCTCACTCCCACCCCACTCCCAAGCACTGAGAGTTCCCGAATCACAGAAAATACAGGTGGAAAGGTCTGTTAGATCCTTATCCCCAGCACTCATGGAGCGGGGATCCTGCAGAGCACCACAGCTTTGCCCGATTTATCCTCCATGGATGAGTAAATCGATGGAGCTGCGGTGGCCAGTGCTGGGGCAGAGGAGCACAGCCAGGCTACAGGCATGGAAATGTTTCCACACACATCCTCACATCCCTCCCATCCTCTCCCAAAGAGCAGCCTGCCATTTCCAGGAGCTGTTCACTCTGATATTGGTGATTACAGCTCCTCTCCCTGCCCAGTTTTTCRTGGGGCTGATCCCATCCATCCCACCCCACTTGGGGTGTGCCATCAGTGCGAGGGGACAGGACAGACGAAAGGACAGGCATTGATGCCCAGAACAATGCCACCACATCAAATCCTAGCCCATCCCGGTTACTCCATCAGACATCCTCTTCCAGTCCCTCTCCAGGCACACAATCTAACCTCACACATCCCAAGCTGCCTCACAGACAGGGAAAAACRACATTTGAGTTAAATTTTCTCACAGAAAAAGGGTCTCCCTGCACTTCCAACTCAGCCCAGAGAGCCTCTCCTGGGATCATCTCCACCATGAGCAGCATCCTGGGCTGCAGGRGGTTAAGATTCCCAGCRTGGAAACTCTGTRTTAATTTTTATTGCTGKTTTTTTTCCCTCCTGAATCCAACCCTCCTCCCTTCTGAATCATTTCTGCCCACTGGCTGTGTTCASACCAAGTCAGGGCACTTAGCACTGATTAAAAAATAAAATAAATAAAATTAAATACTTTTTTCTATGCCATGTGGAGAAGGTCAAGGCAGTGCAAGTCAGCTGGAAGAAGTTTTAATTTTGTTCATGCTGCTCCTATGACTCCACATGGACCCCAGGCTCCCACAGGACAGGGAACAGGTTACATTTAATCCTCCCTTAGCCATCAATTCTGTTTCGGAATTCCCTCAGTCTTTCTTCACTCATTCCAATATTTTTTCTTTTTTTTTTTTTTTTTTTTTTTTTTTAAACAAACCAAGAAATGAACAGCTCTAACAACTTTTAAAAAAACAAAAAAAGCAAAACCCAAAAAGCATCTGATTTTTTGCTGTTAATCTGGCCCCTGAGTGTGGGAGAGCCCTGCTGCTGCTACCAGGAGCTGCTTCAGGTTGAACAGCTCAGTGCTGCACTGCACTGGAGCTCCTGTGGCACAATAAATCCCACCAGTGCATCCCCAAAACTTGGCTCATCAGTTTCAAGGGGAAGCAGCCCCTCTTCTTTCATTTATTACTTTTAAACCATTCTTTTCAAAGCCTCTCTTATCCCAGCCTTTAAATTCATTATTTGCTGGTTTTAAGAAACTCACGGGGCCTTCCCCCACCATCCCCACTGAAAGGAAGTGGACGGAGCCCGGGAGCTTTGCTGCTCCAGGGGATCTTTTCCTTTTTCCTCCACTAAACTTTTTCCAAAGGTCCCAGGAATGAGGGAATCTGCTCGGCCTGACTTAAACAGGTGCCCCTATGCCATGGTGGGGACAGAAATTTTAAGAGCTCAGCCAAAAAAGAAGCTGTGAGAGACAGACAGAACTTACAGCAACAGGCACAAGTTMATTTGCTCCCCCTGACAGACACATACTTTATATTTCCCCTAATTTTGGGACAATAATTAACCAAAACCTGCGGGAAAATAGAATTTCTCAGCCTCTGCTTTTGCACAGATTTTCTCCGAGTGCAAATACCCACAGCCCTGTGTGCTTCAGGATGAGCTGATGCTTTAATTAGAAGCGATTAGTGGGGAGGGGGCACGATTTGGGGGTGGGAAATGACAGATTTTCTGCTGTAAATACTCAAATCACCGTGAGCTGATACAGGGGAGGCTTTAAACAGAGGTAGCTGGGATGGGATGTTTGCTGCTTGCATGACCAGACTGACAAATTCCTGCTCCTCTTTTCCAAAAAGCAAAACAACAACAACAACAACACAAAAGAACAGTACAAAATTAAATTTAAATGAAACAAAGCAGCACGAGCAATTTGCTAAATTTGGGAGCATCCGTGCCGGCCTAGGAGTAAAGGAACTTCCCTCCCGTTATTGGGATGGATGTTCATCCCGGGGACCCCGTGCCACCCTCCAGGCCTGATTGCCACATTTCCAGGACTGCTCCCCATCTCCAGCCACCGGGGTGGCCGCGGGTTYATATCTTGCTTGAGGATAAATAAAGAGGGAAAGGTTGGGGATAAAATAAAGAGGGAAAGGGGTGGGAGGGCGAGGGGGAATTTAGGCAGCCAATGTAACAGCTCCCGGCCTCTCCTGCGACTCCCCCACCCCAATCAAACCCTCCTTTGCATTTCCATGGCCTAAGGGGGGTTTCTCTTCGCGAAAGAAACGTCTGAAACCGCTGCCTGGCACCGGGGAAGGACAGGGAAAAAGCAGCCCCAAAGCCCGGAGTGTCGCCACCGCCTCCCCCGCGCACACACCTGATGCCCCGGTCTGGAAAGAGACCTCCGGCCCCTCTTTCCAGCTCCTTTTTCCAGCCTTTTCCCCTCGGACAGCCGCGGCTGCCGCAGCTCCGGGAGCGGCGCGGGGACAGGGGACAGAGGGGACCGGGGGGACAGGGGGGACCGGGGGGCAGGGGCCGCGTTCCCCTCGCCGGGTGACAAGCGAATATTTATGTCGGTATTAGAGGAATGCGTTTCCTTCTCCAATCAGGAATGCAAGCAGAGTTTCTAATTATAAGTTAGATGGTGGCTGGGAATAAAAGATTGCTTTTTAATGACTCCCGTCCAGGTGCTCTCGCTGCCTGTCTTCCCAAGAACACATTTGCATTTTATTGCTTTTTCTCCCATCCCAACGAATTCCCTGCTTTCAGACATACCTGAAATAGTTGGAGAGGCTGCTGCCTTCAACACCCTCACCTCGGCACCGCCGGGCAGGGGGGGCCCGCGGATCCCGCGTGGGGGGAGCAAGGATTAAACGCACTTTAAAAATTAATTAGGAGGACGGCGATGATTTTTTTTTTGTTTGGGGGGGGGGGGGCCGCTTCGGAGCTGTTGGCAGCGCGGCCGCGGAGCCCCTCGGCAGCCCCCCGGCTCAGCCCGCGCAACCCCGCGGAGCAGGAGCTTCCCTGCGCTAGGGCTTCCCTGAGCCCAATTACCTCCGCGGGGTAATTAGAGCAGATCGTGCAGTTACATGCCTTGCCCAGCACCATTTGCTTTTTGTGGGGGAGCGGGAGAGAAAAAGCTCTTAAAGGCGTAGGGYGCAAAGCGCGGAGAGGGCGAAGAGCCGGGAGCGGCGACCCCCCAGCAAGCGCCGCATCCCGCGGGAAGGGGCGCGCAGMAGCCGCGGATTTTGCGCCGGGCGCTTCTCCGCCAGCCCCGTCCCCGCTCCCCGCTCTGCCTTCCCACAGCCCAGGTTGYTGAGCCTTCACCTCCTTTCTCTTCYTTCCCGTTCCCCCCGTCACCCCATTCCTTATTTTATTTTTCTTCACCCCTAAATATTCCTTAAAGCGAAAGGGGGGAAAAAAAACACCCGAAAGTTTTCCTCCTTTCCCCCTTTTCCTTCCACCTGACTAGCTCGAAATCACCTTGAAATGCTCATGTCAACTTGTATCATTATCTCTTTAATTCAGGCAGCGCCTTTTGTTCTTCACAGGAGAGGATCAAAGCACTCCAAAAAAAAAAAAAAAAAGAAACAACAAAACTTTCCGATCGCTCCCTCTCGCTCTCTCTCTTTTACAGTAGGAGAAGGAGAGATCAGGTATAACCCAGTCAAAATAAACAAAGTGAATGCATAAATAAAAGAGGTGAAATGCAGGTTCTAAGAACTTGCTGGCGCTGGAACAATCCCACCTCTTTAGCTGAGTGGCAACGAAAGGAGAATTTCAAGTCATCTTAAGCGCAGGGGTTGCCGAGAAAACAGAGGAGGGGAAAAATAAATGAAAATGAGCGAAAAAAAAAAGAAGAAGAATAAAACTTACCACCAGATTGGGTAACTTGACAGAGCCTGACTCAACCCACAAAGAAACAGGAAATATCCAAAAGAGGCCATTGATGAAAAGTTGTCTTTCTTTTTTTTTTTTTTTTAACCAGAGTTGCCAAAAACCTTCCTTTCTTCTGAGGCAGGATGATTATTTTAATAATAATAATAATAACAATAATTTAAAAAAAAAGTCAAATGAAGTGAACTCAACCCGACCAGGTAAATCCTCTCTTGCTTCCTCTACTACTCTCAAGGAAAAAAAAAATCTCAGAGAGGTAAAAAACTCTTCTCTCAGCCAAGACACTGAAGGCAAAAAAAAAAAAAAAAAAAAAAAAAAAAAAAAAAAAAAAAAGAAAAAAAAAGTTTGAAGTAGCTCTCTTAAAAAGGACCCAATCAGCACTTATTGCCAAAGGGAGAATTCTGATGCTTTGGCTTGTTCTGTCAATCAGGAGCGTGAAGTCAGGAATGAGCTAATTGCAAGGAGATAGTGTTTTAATACTCATTAGGGGGCACGTTGGCCCACAAGCCAAGGGATAAAATGTAGTTTTAAAAAGGGGAAGGAAGATTTAGGGGGTTTAAATAGACAGGGGGGACCCCTGTGGATTTGGGTAGCTATAACAACCTGCCCGGATTTCACTCCCTGGGTCGAAGCTACTAAAATGCAAAAA